TGCGTGTTGCTCAAACTCGAGATCAGTTCATGGAACAACTGCAATCGGCACGCCGCGAGGCCATGAAGTCGTTCAACAATGATAGCATGCTCATTGAACAGCTGATCATTCGTCCCAGACATGTTGAGGTAAGTAGAACGATTTTGGAGTAATACTGTGGTCGTTCGGGTTCTGGATTCAAAGTTAGCTGCACGGCGTGTAGAATTGTGTTTTAGCATCGATCACTTCCCCTGTAGTTTATCCACTTTATTGTTCAAACTTCTCGAGCCTGATACAGTCATTTCTTTATACGCCCTCGCATTTTGATATTTTGGAACTCGAGATTTTCGGAGAAAATAAGCACAGGAAACACCTAGTGCGATTGCGGTGTAAGTCGCTATGTTGATTCTACTGTATTCTCTCAGTGCTTGGTTTCTAAAAGGATTGTTTTCGCCAAGGTAACATAATAAGCTATGTAACACTCGGAAAGTTTCACAATGAAATCACTGATAGGAATTGAGTAAAAGCGGCTCATAATCACAAAACCACAGACTGTGACTTTAAAATCCTGTTTAAGTAAATCAGGGCAAATAGCCGGATATCAAAGTAGTAGCACTAACTAATTGCGCATAACTGAATCCGCCGACCGCTGTTATCTGTTCGCGGGCAGGGTAGAGCACAACGACCACCTAGGAAAGCTTCCGAAGAGCGCATTTTTCCGATCTTCGCATTAAACTCACCTTCAAGCACAGTTTTTTCGAAGTTTTGGCTCGATCGAATGAGCTCGGCCAGTTTGTCGTACAAATCGTCCCTTTGTGCGTCCTCTGGACGCTAATGTACCCCCGGAGCAGCATCTCACGTAAGCGACTCTTGACGGGGATTCAATCGCTTAGTAACACTTAGGCTCCATTATTGGCTATGATGTCTGCTCCACGTTGATCTGCTGAGAGAGTAATTTGCGGCGGAAGTATCCCGAGGACAATTCCAACATACTTAAATGGCTTATGATTCTAGGATCCTGGATTCACATCTCTGATGCGCAGTGGATATCAATCCACAATGGGTCCATTGCACGCATCAGACGCGCTTGTGGACCCAGACCCATGATGGTGCTCACATTGAAGATCCCTAGATTCAGTAATTGGCGAGGTTTCAGAATTGGCAACGTATTTGGTGGCAGCAAGCTTTGGCGAGTTACCAGAGTTGTCTGATAGAATGTTATGGGCCACGAGAAGGGTCAGAGGGAGGAGGTTGGGTACGGAAGACGAAGAGTTAAACGAAAGTTGGGATGTCTGAACAATAGCCCACAAATCGCTATTCACCCAGCTCGATGCGATTGTCGTGATTATCCTGTGCGACGACCGATGCAGCGTGGAATTATTTTTAGTTTGTGTGTTCATTGGAGCTTTATAGACGGGTAATGCCAGAGACTTCAACCACTAAGCAGGAGGACGATTAGGCTTCTGCTCCAAAGCCTTCAGTTCTAACATGAACCTGACCGCGATGCATCGGGTCAAGCGAAGTGGAGGTCCATTTACTTGAATCTGCTACTCACCCGTCATTTTCGAGTGAAACCCCCAACCTGGAGGATCAGGAGACTGAACTTTGTCTGACCTCTACCTTCAGAATTTCTTGGCATGAAAAGCTCTCCTGGCGCGATACAAGCCATCCTGTATGACTCATTGGGTCATAGAGGTGCACAAGCCACCACACCGCGTCAAGGTGCAATCTCTTCTCATTCAAAAACGTAATAAAATATTTAGAACAAATACAGTTTGGCGAAACAATTGTTTTTCATCTCGATTAGTTTGTTGGGCGTCCCCCGGGAGTGGAGTGGTTTTCTTCATCCGAGGCCACGGCAAAGCTAAATCCCGAACGAACTGCTTTTGGTTGCACAGGGGGGGGGGGATCCAATTGTTTTTCAGTAATTCAAGCCGTTTACAGATTACATAGGTAACGTTCGGAAACAGATCACCCGTTTAATGGTTTCGACTGTATTCAAATGGATCTGTTTGGCTTGTAGACAAACTTTTACGTATCATAGAGAACATTTATAAAAATAGGCTTTTCAGAACAAATTTTGTAGTCCACTTTGGGTCAGCAGATTTCAAGGCCTTCAGATAAAATCGTTTGGAGAGGACAAAGAGATTTGACTACTTTGGGATTCATTATGACTGTAACTGGCCTCCCACAATCTGGAGTAGTTCAAAGCAAAGTGCTTAGTCTACCGTCTAGCTGACCGTCCATCTAGAGAAGCATCACCAAATCAGACAAGTGTTTGAGGTATATCATCCTGCATTGTGAGCGCCCACATCGATACCTCGCACCACAACTTTTCTTCTGTCCCCACAAAAACCTGGTACTTTGTCACTGATGCCTGGTGTTTATTGTGTGCACGATTGGATCAGCGAACTATAATAACAATAATGATTCACAATGTAATCCAACCACTCTTTAAGGATTGGTTGTGTCTCAGCTTAGTTATACGCTAGATTCTAAGTGAATTTGCTGATATGATGAATTCCTTTCGTCTTCGTCCTTCACAAAGCTCGTGTTCCAGCTTTTTACTCAGGTTTCTACAAGTCTGCATTTGGCCAACACTAAAACCATACGTGCTCCACCGACACTATCCATGCATATGCACGTCATACACAGCAAATACTTCCAACGTTTTTTGTATTCATTTGTGTTGCACAATCTACAACCTCTTATCCCTGTAGGTACACATTTCAGTGATATTGATTGATACGATTTTGTCACACTTCCTCTATTTCATTTTGAAATTTAAACTTCATCCGGTATATGCCTGTTAGCGCTATTGGTTTGTCTGTGTTCGCGATTTTTGGTTCCATTTTACACAACAAATTGTTCATCGTAGGTCATCAATGAGCAACTGTCTGACCACATTTCACGTCAAGTCTACCCCAGCTTAATGAACCTAGTAGTCGTTTTGGCGAACCCTTGGTGACCGCGTTGTGGTTGGTGCATCGCTTTTTGGAGCTATGTAGTCTGAAATGAAACTGCATAATGATTTTTCTGTGGAAGATGAGCTGAGCTGTGACTGCCATTTGAAGATTACGGTCAATTGCGGCTCTTCCTGAGAAGTCAGAGGGTCGAGTGTATGCCGCGACAGTTCGGCCAGTCCTGCTATACGGTGGAGCAACGTGGCCATTAAGAAAACAGGATAAAGACACTGTCGGTGTTTGAACACCGCTGTCTACGCAGCATTGCACGAATCTGGTGAGGTAGCCAGACGAACAATGCTGAGGTTAGACGCAGAGTTTTGGGTATCCGCGGTCACCCACTGGAGCAAGTGGTCGACCTCCATGGATTACGTTGGTTGAGTCATGTGCTACACATGTCAGCAGATAGGTTACCACGACGAGCGATGTTCGCCGAAGCAGATACCGACTGGAAAAAAGCCAAGGGTGGTCAAGCTAAGACCAGNATGTGCTACACATGTCAGCAGATAGGTTACCACGACGAGCGATGTTCGCCGAAGCAGATACCGACTGGAAAAAAGCCAAGGTTGGTCAAGTTAAGACCTGGCACGAGGGTATGAAAACCCTAACCAGGAGACTGGGTTACATAAGTCCTGTTAGGCTCCCTGGCTGGGGACCTCGGGATGATCGTAACCGGTGGTTAGAGACACTGAGCGATATGGCTGGATGTCGTAAACAGTCACGTTCGTGCATCTCCTCAATTTCTTTGCAACCTTAGACCACTGAACTCCTGCATTCTCTGTTCGACTCCACTTTCCACTTTCCTTTCTTCTCCTATTCTTCATCGCAATGGGCAGCCAAAAGACAGCAACCGAAACCGGTGCTCGAATATGCGTGGTTAATGGTTGTTCAAACTGAACTGAACTACGACTGTTGACCTCTCCCGATTGATCGGATTTCTTGCTATTATACACATATATACATCCACGAATGGAAATGGCGTACCATTAAATGCAATGTTTATCTTTAAGAAATCTGTAAATGCTTGTTCGTGAGGTTGCTTGTGAGGTGCATGCCTTTACCATATGCAAGATTGTGCTACTCATCACCAAACAAAGAGGGAAGTAAATCGGAAGTGCGGCTGATTTAAGCTACTCTGATTGCCCATTCACTGGCAGAACATTTTGCATAATGCGACACTGGTTTCTGAAATCATTCTCTTTGTTTGTGTAACGAAATACGGTTTAAAACTGTAACTACTAGTCGAGCGATTTCCAAAAAGGAGATTAATCAAGCATTTGCTATGGAAAGAAATGCCGGTAATCTTTGTGGGTCTCAATGAAAGCGCTCCCTCCGTACATAGATATCCTTACATGCTCACAGGTATCTGTCAGTGCAACTGACGGCTGAACTGTTGCAACAAGAGAAATACACTGTAACCGGGCGATGGACGAAAAGACGGGAAAAATACTTCATCCTTCTCATTTATGACTGGCTATTTAGGGTGAGATAAAGGGTACAATGAACCGAATCACTGAAGAACAGCACTTCGATTGGGAACGGAACATTTTCAAACCTAAATCGTCATCTGGAAGATGAGGCGAAAGCGGATTCAATCCACCGAAACTACGAGATCCGAATTTCGTTGCATTGTTATCGGTCTCCAAGCAACCATTGGAAAAACCCTTTACTTTTTTAGCGTTCAGGTTACTGATTTTTATTTGGCTGTTAGCAACAGTCAAACTTTACCGGATTGCGAAGGGCTCTCTGTTCTCATGCCTCAAATAACAGAACACCAGAAACCTTGCAGTGCCAATGCAAACATGCTTTTTGTGTAGCTGAGGCGGTTTAATGAACGTCTAGTCCATATGGGGTATTCCGGTGGACTGAGTTTTTTGACCAACGGTGTTAGTTCGTATCACCGACCGACGCTGCCTGGATGATAATAACGAATGTGCTTTAACTATTTTGATCATTATAGAATTACTACTGATAAGTAGACACTTAGTTGCAGGAATTTAGGTTTAGGATGACCGAGCGTTCTCTTTGCCTTAACTGGCTCATTTGTATTCTGTTCTGACTACTTGTGTACTTTTTTTTCTTTTTGGAAGTACCACTCATATAGTTTATTTTTTNATTCTTCGCATATTTCATCCTGGTGCACTGTTGTGAAACTGAATATTCAACCTTTTCCAAGTGTGATGCGG